AAGGAATTGTGGTAGCTGTTGGAGAAGACAAAAAAAATTTTTGTTGTTGTTCAGTTGTCCAACTTTTCATAGCCCCACTTGGGGTTTTCTCAGCAAAAATACTAAAGGAGTTTGCCATTTCTTTCTCAAGCTCATTTTACAGATGAGGAAACTAAGGCAAACTGGGTTAAGTGAATTGCTGAGGGTCACACAGAAATTAAGTATCTAAGACCAGGTTTGAACTCAGGAAAACTCATTTTTCTGACTTCAGGCCCAGAACTTTGTGCCACCTAGCTGTCCCATACAAAGTTTAAGTCCTTACTTTCATGAAGTTTATAATCTAGTCAGTTTGATAAGTAGCTTTAGGGTGCTAGGTCAAATATCTAGAAATCAGACAGAAAATAAGAAATAACTCAAAATTTTGCAAAAGTGTTCAGGCTTGAACGAATGAACTCCCAATGTTTCTTTAAAATTAAATAAGTAAAAAAATAAAAAAGCAATGAATGGTAGTGAACCTAGCAAGACAGAGCAATAGCAAGATGAAGCAATTCTCTAGATAATTCAGGCAAAACACTTGGATTTTTCTCTCTGAAATTATTTGGATAATTGAAGCAAAAGTGGAATTTATGCCTGAATTATTCAGATAATAATTGCCTTGAGTCTATCTTCACTCTGCTATAAGTAGAGACTGTTCCTCTGAATATATTTTTGGAAGATATACTCTGGCAAAAAGGGGTCCCTAAAAATTAGCCTGTCAGATGAAAATCAGATGATGTACAAAAACAAAGATTTATCTGTAAAAGAAAAACAGGGAATTATCAGCAGAGAGAGCACAGCAGTTCAGAGAGACAGATAGAGAAAGAGAGTAAGAGCAAGAGAAGGTGAGAGAAGGAGGTAGGGAGTTGAAAGAGAGAGAGAGAGAGAGAGAGAGAGTCATATGACCAAGAAGACTGGATGATATTAGTTTCTGTCCAGTATGCCAAAGGCAGTAAGATGATATCAGCATAAACTAGCCATTTGCTTTCTAGTGGAAATTAAAGCACAGACACTCACAAAGTTCTTTTAGTTCTTTCTCACAGGGTCAGCTTCTCAGCAAAAAATTAAAGCTTCAAATAGCACCAAGAGCAACTTTCAGTGTTTACAGGTGTCAAATGAAGGCCACTTACAACTTACTGAAAATGATTCAATTCTTTTTGAATCTTCTAACAAATTCTTAAAAGTTAAAAAAAAATTCAGTGGCTCCTAATATAGACAAAATCTTTAATATAGACAAAGTTTTCAATAAATTCTGAAATAACAATCATTGTATGCATTCCCTTCCATAATATTTCTTTTTTGTTATTTTCATCCTTTTAATTACTCTTTTCTTTTAAAGGATATTGTCACATGAATCACTTATCAATTGAAATGGGGAGATTGGACTATATAAAATCCCTTCCAGCTTTAAATCCCATGATCTGATGTAGGTTTTACTCTAAATTTCTAGGTATATTAGTCATATTCAGATTATAGCAAGTAAGAAAGAAAATTGGGTAGTAAGCAGCTAGAACAATTTTTACAAATGCTTAGCATGACAATTTGACAGGCAAGGGAAGATTAGGTTTAGAGATGGAAGATGGGAGAGAAGCAAAAAGTCTGTGTGTGGGCAGGGGGACCTTAGGTGGTCATTTGCCAGGATAGCTGAAACTAAATGTAATATTAAGTGTGGAAGACAGCTTCAGAAAATCAAATTATGGTGCGATGAGGGTCTGGTGTAAAACTGCAAATGGGGTAACTGCAGGGCTGAGCTGTCAACTAGTTTGGTTTTTTAAGCACCTACTATGTGTCCTGCAAAAGCCTTCCTCTTTTTAAAGCTAATGTTCTTGTGGTGACACAATATGACTGAAAATCATGGCCTAAGATATTAAAAGAATAAAATAGCAAGTTAGTATAAGGGTACCTTAGGGGGACTGGTCTTGGAGTCAGGAAGACTTGAGTTCAAGCCCTACCTCTAATTTACAGATGAGTTGCCAGTCTGCATCTGTGGAGGGAGTTTCCATCCTAGGAATTCCCTATACCTATGAAATAAAATATCTGGACCTCCCCCCAAAAAAAGAAGAAAGAAGAATGGTGAGTATGACCTCAGCTTGTTATCAGTAATCACAACTTACAAGGGAGAGATGGTCTAAACAACAATAATAAGGACATCTATGACCGGTTGCAGTCTGATTATGAATGGAGAATGAAAAATAACAGAAAGATGGCTACCATGAGTGGCACATTGGTACCTACAGAGATCCTAAAAGAAGAAAAGAAAGGCCTTCATTACATTATAGGTCATTTATCAAAGTTTTATGGGTAAAATTTGAAAAAAGTAGACTAGAATCTGATTAAGATGAGAAGGTTTGGAGGGGTAAAAGAAGTACCTATATCCATAAAATCCACCAAAGCACGAAGTGCATGTTAAAGGGTGGAGAGGTGACTTGGGAGACAGGTTGAACACCACCTGATCCTGCTTGGTTTGTCTCACTTGGAGCAATCGCTAAGGACAGCCTGTACAATAATAATAGTTAACATTTAAGTAGAACTTTAAAGTTGGCAAAACCATATAAGTACATGTATATATGTATTTATGTACACATATGTTTATATGTACATGCACAGCATAGTATGTATGTATGTTTTATTTTCTCAGCAATAAGTGCTTTTATTATCCCCATTGTACAGATGAGGAAACTGAGGTAGAGAGAAGTTAAGTGACATGCCTAGGATCATGCAACTAGCAAGTGTCTGAGGAAGGATCTGAACTCAGGTTTTCCTGGCTCCACATCTAGCTGTCAGTTTGTCTTGGGAAGTGCAGAGTGGGCAGGAGCCTCCACAGTGGCAGCATACATAAAGGTGTACGATTATAAGTGCATTTGATTCTATGATTTTACGTGAAGTACCTTCACTTATTTCCCAATAAATATTATATGCTTCGGAACAGGTTTGGATAGTATATCAGTTATTTTTTTTCCTGATTATGTGTTTTTGCTGGTGTAGGGAACACCCAGTGAGGAACTTTCTCTACCAATGCAGGTCAGTACCTTCTCTGAAATAATCTTAAACAGTTGCCTGGGGGCACTGAGATGTTAAGTGACTTTTCTAGGATCACACAGTCAGCATGTATCAGAGGCAGGACATAAACCCACCAGGAATCCCTGACTCTGAGGCCAGCTCTCTATCTATACTCATATCCTCCGCATAGTAACTGATAAAATGTTACAAAATGTAGGTGGGGAGGGGAAAGGGAAAAATGAGAGAACCAATGGGAGGTAACACGGTATAGTGGAAAACACACTGTTTCCAGAGTCAGAGAACCTGGGTTCAAATTATGCCTCCCCCCATGCAAGGCACTTACTTCATCCAGACTCAGTTTCCTCATCTGTGAAATTACGGGGTTGTTTTAGATCAGTGGTGTCAAACTCAAAGATAAACAGATTCCTGCAGCAACATATTGACTTAGAAAACACAAATTAACTTTTTTTGTGTTATATTGTATTTCTGTTTATTTTGTCAAACATTTCTCAATTACATTTTAATGTGTTCTGTACGTGGAGTTTGACATCTCTAGCAGATGACCTCTGAGGCTCCTTTCAGTTCTAAATCTGTGGCCCTATGAGCCATCTGAATTTGCTTTGTCAATGCTGACCAGGTCTTAAAACCCTTCCCAGAGATCAGAAGAGAGGAGAAGGAACTGGAATCTTGGCCTCTGTGTGGTACAATGGAGAGGGAACTCAGAATTTGAACTCCTTTATTCATGAAATAAAGGGGTAGGAGACTATAAACTTTAGGGTTCCTTTCAGCTCTAAATCTATAATCCTATGATTCCAGCTTTATCAACAACTTTCTGTGTGACATTCTATAAATAACTTAAATCTTTTGGATGTCCACTTCTCCATCTGTGAAATTAAACTTTTGTGAAGAGCTTTGAAATCTTTAACTGAAGTAGACCATATCAGGGTGAAGTGCCATTTATAAGAATGTGTGGGAGTTAGGAGCTGACTGAGTTTGATGGGTTTCTCTTCTATCCTTAGGGAAAAAAAAATCATGATATTTTAAAACTCCATAATTAAATTTACTTGATTAGCCTCAAAGGCTTCAAATAAGATTTCCATTAGCATGCAATAAACATATAATCAAAAGCTGAAAAATACTTAATATTAATAGAATCCAGGGTAGAAATTTTTAACATTGTTTATGAAAAGGATAGATTCTTTTTCCCCCTCCCACTGGTTGATGCTCACAAAACTTTAAAATACAACGCTATTAGTACGGGCTGAAATCTTAAGCACCAGGAAATCTCAGCAGCAATAGCATCTCTTGTATCCTAGAAACCTAAAGCCATTCACCGGGTGAGCTGGAATCATTCAGTCAATAAGTATTTACTGAATGCCTACAGGCTGCACGGGCGTTGGAATCACAAGTGTTGAGTGATTTATTGGGATCATTCCAGGGATTTCTTAGGGGTGCCTCGAGCCTTCGCCAGGTCTTCCAGGTTCACATACGGATGCGGTTCCTCTACTAGCACGTCCCAGGCAGGTGATAATGAGCACCAGGGATGAGCTCGGTCCTTATGCGTTAGTGTCCCACGAGAGGACGAATACCTTTGTTTCTGCCAACTACAAAAGTGCAGCTGATGGTCTGGGTGCTGGGGGCAAGCGACTTACTCCCTCCTGAGGGAAAGGGGGCAATCAGGGTGCTCTGGCTCCGCCCTGCTGGCGCCACAGTGTCAAGGCAGGGCCTTGGCCGCCGTGCACCTGGCTGACCCCTAGTGGTGCTCCCCCCCAACCCACAGCGCCCCCCCCCCCCCCCCGCCTCGCACCCATCTCGCCCCATCATCTCCCCCATCCTCTCCCGGACCAGTCCCGACCCGTTCTCGCGAGATCCGGGCAGCCGAGCGCTCGGGGCCTTTTCAAATCGGGATCCGTTACCGCTTCCCCTGCCGCCGCCATTGTCGCGCTCGGAGCCCCCTCAGCGCAGGTGGCGGAGGTAGTGGCGGGATGGCGGAGACGGACAAGCTCGAAGTGCCCGGGGCCGCCGGCGACGACACCCCGCGTCAGCAGCTGTCGCCTCCGGAGCTGCAGGAGGAGTCGGGTCAGGAACAGCTACAGCCACAGCAGGAGCTGGAGAAGCAGCAGCCGCCACACGGAGGCAACTCCAATGGCGTTAAAATGTATTGTCTTTTCCTGGGGGGGGGTTCAGGCGGGGGAGGGAGGGCCCGGGACGCCGCAGGCCACCCCTTTCCCGGGGCCTCCGCCGCGGGGCAGAGGCAGGCGCGGGACTACCCGAGCCCGAGGCTCTGAAGGAGCCCGTTAGGCCTCTCCCGCAGGCAGAACAAACAATACGGCCTCAGAGCGGGGGCCCGACCCCTTCTCGAGGCCTCCCCGCGGCGGGGGGGGGCGGCGCCGGGTGACGACGGGTCGGGTCGGGGGCCCCCCGGGGGGAGAAGGGCTGGTTGTGGATCCCGCGCTGGTCCGGGGCTTCGCCAGCCCGTAGGGGGAGGTGGGGGGCCGGGCTGCGTTATTCCGATTTATCATCGTCGTCGTCGTCATCATCATCATCATCATCATCATCATCATCATCATCATCATCATC